TTTTTTTTTTGTAAAAAAAAACAAAAAAAAAAAATATTAATTATTTTAATATAATTTTTTTTTTTTTTTTTTTTTTTTTTTTTAGGTTGTTGCACCCAAGCTGTGAAGAAGACATCAGTATCTCATTATTTATAGTTTTTTTCCAGAATGAAGAAATAACATAAGTAGTTTGTCTTCTGAATTGTGATTTGTAGTGTCAAAGTGTCTGTTCACGCATTAATTCAAGAATAGTCCTTGAAGAAATGGAGCTGCAGCTCCAAAGCACACCACCAGAGGGGGTGTGTTTCTTCCAGCTTTAGTTAACAGACTTTTCTGTTTATTATGTAATGGGAATTCCCATGATATGATTCTTTGTGATTAATCTGTTGTGTTTAAAGTGTACAAAATAAGTTCACAAGTTTGTGCGGTTTGGAGCTTAAACAGGCCGTGGAATCATTTGGTTCCTTTTTAAGAGTCAAATTATGCGACTCTTTTAATAAGGTAACTGGTTTATAAGTTTGTTCTCCTCCTTATTTGAGTTATTGACTATTGTGTACATTTTAAATGGCACATACAGCCACAAACGGTCATGTGATCTCATGCTCGAGTTCACGTCTGCTGGACTTAGCAAGGTAGTGTGTGCTGACTCACCACCAGAATGTTAACTACTGGGGAAGTATTTTAGCCACTCTCTGGCTGTGCCCACAGCTATTTCTCAGTTTACAAGGAAAGAGTGGGAGGTGTGCAGCTGAGCACTCTGTCACTCTTTCTCCTTAGTTTCTTTTGCCCCGCTCCTCCTTTCTTTCTTTTCTCCTTTTATTTCCGTGGCCATGCAGCTGCTAGGAGACACGGGCAGCATGAGCAAACAGGTTTTCCTGTGTTTGGTCATTCTGATCCTTGTCCGTAAAACCCCACAGATTGACTCTATTAATGACTCATTGTCTGTCTTAGCAGTAGACAAGAATTATCCCAAAACAAATACCCAGGTACTAGTTTTCAACGAAACTGTTTGTTTTTCTTTTATTTCTTGCAAGAGGCATTTTTTTTTTTTTTTTTTTTACATTTTTTTTTTGGTTTGATTTTTTTTTTTTCCCCCTGCTATAATATATAAAAATAGGCACATTTAAATTATAATTTGTCAACATTTTAAGCAACTGGCATAATTAATTTTCATTTCTGTGTTTCCCCAGGGAGGCAGAGAAATAGGTTAGAGCCAATGGACACTATTTTTGTGAAACAAGTCAAGGAAGGGGGTCCTGCTCATGAAGCTGGCCTTTGTACAGGTAATACTCAGTCAGCATGAACTATTTTCAGATTATTTTTAAACGCTTGGACATTTCCATTCACAGGCAGAAAGACTGTAAGTAGAGGCGTGTTTAACCATGTTTTCATTGTGCTGTTGCTGATCTGCTAATCAGCCAGCAGGTGTATAGTTTCTGCTGATTTTTATGCTCCTTTTTGTTTTCCTGTGCATCTGTTAAATGCTTTATTTGCTTAGCACACTGCTTGCAAACCTCTGGATGAGACCTCTGTTGTTGAATAGGTGATCGAATAGTGAAGGTGAATGGAGCCAGCATAATCGGAAAAGCTTATTCTGAGGTGATAACTTTGATCCAAGACAGGTAAGATGGCGAGAGTTTGATTAATTTTGGTTTATTTGGCGCAATTTTTCTGTTTAAAAACTCCCCTTTCCTTTTTTCAGTGGTGACGTTCTTGAGCTTTGTGTGATGCCAAAAGATGAGGACGTACTGCAACTGGTGAGATTGAGTTTTTCATCATATCCTAAAAGACTATGAAGAAAAAACTTTTTTTTTTTTTTTTTTAATTTGGAATAACTTCTGGTCCATCCTGGAGCTGCTCTAGTTTTAAAGTGTTTATGTTGGGGCAGTAGTCATGAGATCCAGACAACCAGCCTTTCTCATCAGAACTCTCTATCTGGGCCTCCTAATCAGGCCATAAGAGACTTTCTGTCCTCCAGAACTGCAGCTGACACCACTGCGGAAATGCCCTAAATTCACTGCTGGATGATGCATCACAAAAATACACTTGGATGACATTAATATGAGATAAAATATATACTCCAGCTTTGTAGGTCTTGGGTTTTATATTAAAGGTTTTATATATTTAATAAATATCTGCAGAAAAGCACCAGAAAATTTAGCAAGCTGTCTGACTTGGACAAAATCGTATTATCCAAACTTATAAATAAAATGTGTTTCAAATGGTTGTCTTAACTCCTTCAGAAATGAGCAGCTTATTATGGCAGCATGAACATTACAATTAATTCACATTTCATCTGGTGCTTTTAGTAATTAGGCTAATCTTAATGTTTGTGGCAAACGTTCTTGCTTTTCTTCACCAGTTTTAAATGAACCTTAAAAATGCAATGCCATGACACTGCGTGTGTCCCCCAAGTGTCACAGAGGGAAACCCTCTTACCTTAGCAGGCTTGAAATCTCATCATTAATCTTTTATGCATGCTGCAGGGAGCCGTAGGTAGCTACTATCGATTCTGCTAAATCAAGATGTTCTCTTCTGTTCCATATCCAGAGTAAATCCATTGCAGATTCTTTTTGGACAGTAATCAATTTCTAAGGGCTTTTTATAGTCTGCTAGTGGGTTTTTGATTTGAACACCACAATAAAACTGGGAAGATATTTGCTCGACAGGTATGCGTCCCTGGAGATTTTTAAGGGCCACATTGAATACTTATTACTAACTGAACGCTCATCTACTTAGCACGTGTGATGTTGTAATGATAAATATTTATTTGTGTAAAAAGCACATATTGAATTATTTTCTATTCATTATTCTAAAATATTAGATATTGGAAATATTGTTACTTTATTTAATTCATTAAATGATTGAATTCCTGAGCACTAATTTCTTAAGGGAAGTTGGGGCGTGTTTCTTTAAGTAATCATTATACATTGTAATTTTAATTTTGTTGTTGATCAATAAAATAACAAAACAATTATGATGCCATTGATTCAGGGGAAAATCTATCCAAACCAACAAACCTTGGCGTTCTTTTTGGTCAGCTACAGTTTTCACCTTGTAACTTTGTCTTTCGTGTTGCTGAATCATGAACTCTGACCTTCACTCAGTTAAGCGACGTCTTCAGTGGTTTAGGTTTTGTTGTCGTTCTTTCACAATCTCCTGAATGAATCCATGCGTTCTTGGAGTACATTTGGTTGATCATCCGCTCCTTTCAAGGTTTACCTCTGTTCCATGTTTTCTCTGTCTGTTACTAGTGGCTCTCCCCTTGGTTTGTTGGAGTCCCAGAGCCTTAGAAATAGCTCTGTAACACTTTCCACACTAATAGATGTCAATAACTTTCTCATCTTTTCTTGAATTTCAAGATCTTGTCAGACATGATCTTTTTGATTCTGCAGATCTGGCAGTTATCAGGTAATCATGAATAGGAAATACACGATTCAATAAGATGAGGCCCTTAGATTTTCTTTCGGGATCAGGCTTTTGATAACTTTTCCCTTAATAAATTAACCTGATTTATATTCACTCAGGTTGTATTTGTCAGCTATTTGAATTTGTTTCATGGTATGAAACATTTAAGTGTCAAAAAGCAAAAACAAAAACGGAGGAAATTTGCAAGTACTTTTTCACAGCACTCTGAGAAAATTTCATTTTTCATTTTTAGTAAGTTCATTTTGTCCTCTGTCTTATCCAGTTCAGTGCTACTCCACCCTCTTCCCTGAGCGTCCTCCTCCTGGCTTGCTTCTTTTTCTGTCTGTAGTCATTTATGCAGTTCACTCTCCTACGCTGTGTGCTGTGATACCTCTCACCACATTGTTTCTCAGCCAATGAAAAACGGCAACACGAAAATATCTGAGGTGTACACAAGCAAACTATGATCTTTCTGCAAAAATCAGAGGATTATCGCAGATGCTAGCGGAGAGACACGACACTGTAGGCGGCAGCAAGCACTGAGAGCTTGGAGACGGGCAGCAGTTGCTTAGCAAAGAGAGAGAGTAGAACATTTATGGAGCAGAAAAGGGAGGGAATAGTCCGCTATAAAGCAGAGGAAACAGTGAGCAGGGAAAACGGAGGGGAAAGCGTGAATGATGAGCTTAAACCAGAGGATAAAATCAGCTGACTGCTCTGTGTTTCAAACAGGTTGACGCTTAGTGAAAAAAGGAGGGAGGAGGAAGAAGTGGGAGGGGGAGCTGTACCATCACAGTTGAATGTATAATCAGCAGCTGCTGCTTCTGTCATGTGAGCAGTAGCAGGGAGGGAAAAAGAGAGAGAGGGCGACACAGACTGGAGACACCTTGTTCAGTTAGCGTAATATTCTGTTTGAAGATGGATGAAGCCATGGAGACCTAACGGCAGTATGGGAACCATGCTTCAGCTTCTGCCACCTCGACCAGGACAGAGTGTCACAGGCAGGTTGTAACGTGGCAACCCTTGATACATCTTTGCTCTCTCATCCTTGTGTGCCGCCGCTGCAACTCCAGTGTATTTTTAGCATGTCAGTCCCAGGCTTTGCTATGGCTGATTCATCTTCTGTGCTCTTGGAACCAGTTATTTTTCTTACAATATGTGCTTTCTGCTCTGCTGTCATCTTCTTCTCCCATGATTCCTCAATGCTCTCGTGTTCGTTTGCTGTAATGGCAGCCTTTCTCTAAAGAAACAACTAATCTGGTAAGGAAAGGGTACAATTGGTACCTGCCACATGTCGTACCTGCTGTATCATTTTGCATGTGTCATGCATGTCATCAGCATCCCAGGATTTCTTTCGAGTGGTTGTAAATTACTACCACGCAGCTGTCTTGGATTTATGTTTATGATCAAATATGTGATAAGTGGCTCAAATGTTTAGATTGCAGACATGGCCGATGCACTGTGCCTGCAGTAGCTGTTAGATTAAAAGCTCGAGTTGGCATCCAGCTGGAATCTCAGTGAAGCCTCGCCCTCTTTCTCATCTTTTTATGTCGGATGTCATCAGTTTCATAAAGGCTGCTGACCTCTGAACTGGTTACAGTCATACTTAAAAAGGGAGGAACTTAGCTTAGCACTGATTGCTGTGGCTCGCACAGTTTTATTGTAAGGTTGTACTGTAACAGGGCCAAAGTCCTCATACCTTTCCTTAGTGCTTGTTGTGAGTAGCAAAAATAGATATTGTTTATATTTTACGTTCCTACTTTGGATTTTCTTTTTTCTTTTTTTTTCTTTTTTTTTTTTTGCTAGGACCGTCAGGGAAATAGTTTAGACTTTGTACTAATCCATGATAACTAGGAAAGATAATTATAGCACATTCGGTATGAGACCTCGGCATCCTGCTGCCTGTAAGAGGTTAGTCTGTCAGTCTGAGGTATGTAACTGTGATCTGTGCGTCTGTCCATTTTGTGATTGTATTGTGACTTTTTTTTCCCCCTCCAAATATGATGTTGTTCATAGTATTTATAATTGAATGTATTTCTGTGTCTTTGCCAACAGTGGCAGAGACTATCCTGACCAGTAATTTAAAAAATCGATGATAAATGAGCAGCTGTTTAGAAATAAATGTTTTTTTTTCTGTAGTATGAAGTGAGCTATCCACTAGTATTACCAAGTCAATTCTAAATAAGGAGCAGATGAAGAGCTTTGACACTGCTCAGCTGTTTGAAACGCCTCCACTCACTCACTCACTGAAGCGGGCACTGCCTACACATGCGTCCAGTAACATTTTCAATATCACACTTGACTTGTCTTTAAGCATCTAGCGCCACACTGTTTAATCTTGCACACACTTGCTGTTTGTACGCCTCTCTTGTAACATGGCTTTCTTGCTCTGTCTTCAGGCCTATTCCCAGGATGCCTACCTGCGTGGCTACAATAGCTACAGTGGAAATGCTAGTCACATCCCTGACCCACCAGTGGTATGCTACCCCAGAGTAGACTGTAAGCCCACGGGCATGGCCCAGGCGACAGACCCGTCGGGGCAGGTCTGCCGGGGTCCAGCAGCATCTCTTGATTATGGGTATCGTAAGGAAATCACTGTGCCCCCATCTCCTCCACGCCAGTATTCCAAAAGCCAAACAGCGGTGTGCATGCGCAATGACAGCGTTAGGACTGTGGTGGTTCCTCCCAACTCGGCACACATGGGGCGTGTGGTTTCGGCACAGAGGGTTGATTTCATGGACCCTGCCTATGTTAGGGGAAGACCGGGGTCACTGGCCCAGTATCCTTTCCCTCGAAAGGCCGACATCTATCCCAGCGGTCCAGGAATGGTTCCCTTTGCAAGTCAAGCACCTAACTACCCAAGCAACCATCAGAACATTGACTGGCGCACTTACCAGACATACAGGGAGTACATTGACAACAAAGGTATCCATTCCCATGGTAGTCGGACAATTCAGGAGAGGTTGGACAATTTTCGAATTGCAGGTCAGCCCTCCTTTGCAGCTGCTTCTCACATTCCCAGAGGAGACTGGGTTCCTAAAGGGATACGGCGCAGGAGTACCTCCCATGAACGATCATACCACGGACCTCCACCCCATTTTCAGGCTGCCCCACGCAGTGCTTCACAGGACCGGATGAGGAATTCAGAGAAAATAAGCAATCCAAGGAACTGGCCCCCTCGAAGTGTGTCCCAAGATGCCCTGGTTCTGAAAGCTCGATCTCATTCCATAGACTATGTTGAACCTATTGAGCTGTCTCGGCCCAGTGAGAGGAGAGCAGGGTATCCAAGGGCAGACCAAGGCACAAGGCCCAGCCGGCAAGCGATGCCCAGAAACGCTGTGCCCTTCAGGCCTTCGGCTGGATACAGCAGCAGTATGAGAGGAGCACCAAACCCACATTTTTTCTCTAAAGGTCCAGATTCCCTTCAGACTCGCTCCTCACCGATGCTGTCTGACATGCTTTTTGGGAAAAGCACTGAACATTCTTTTACCAACCAAAGAGTTTCAGTCCCAGCACACCATCTAGGCCACACGAGCCAACCAGGCCAGAACAGGATGAGGTCAGAAACCATACAGATCTCTGAGGCAGGCAGAGACGCAACAGTAGTTGGAATCAGGTCTTCGTCGAGCTCTGCTGCAAGAGAGATCCCTCAGAGGCCTGGCATCCTCAAAACAGCCCACCAAGATTCTCAAAGTCAGGTAAACGGTCAAAGCCCCTCAGAACCTGCGGTGGTAATGAGGGAGAAACCTCACAGTGGAAAGAACCCCAGCCCACTGCGGCACCCCTCCTACATCCTGGCGGTGAATGACGAAGGAGCGGACTCTACGGCAGACGTGGCGGCTTGCTGGCTTCCAAACGATACACGGCGAGAGATACATATGCGCCGCCTTGAGGAGCAACGTCACAACTCCTGCTCCAGCAACCTGGACGAGTCCCTGGACGCCATTCCATTCATCGGTAAGACAGTAATCGGTTTATTGCCTCGCTGACCATGTTGGCATGGCAACTGGGACTGTAGCAAAATGTAATAGAATAACACTGTAAGCGCTATTATAAGAGTTTCAGTAGACGCATGACGAACAACTTAAATTTAACAGTTTTATTTGATGGGCTTAGGAGATTCAGAGGTAAACTAGCCTCTATAGGGAGACGTTATTGATCAGAGTGGGTTTGAGATGCTTTTGAATTAACCATGACAGAGTAAAGTGGTGTTTGTAATGTAGTGAAGTCCCCCCCTGTTAATGCATTGTTTTCCTGGATGCTGTCTCTTGACAGTGAGCTCATAGTGGTCGAACAGCAGAGTAATGGATGCTGCTGTGATTAAATTGTTGGGATCTCAGAAACTGCGGTCTGAGGGTTTACAAAGTTGTAGGGGTTCAGAGCCAAAATTGAGAAAATTTCACTGGTTGTTTTTGTTTTACACTGTAAGTTTTCTCAATATATATATATATAATAAATATTAACATCCGTATTTGCCTGGGTGTGAGCAAAGTACTACATTAATTGCAGTGCTAAAAGAACATATAAATTAACATCTCTACAAAAATTATCTTTCAAAATATCCTATATATTTCTGTTAATTGTTTCCTTGTCTGTTATCCATTATGTATAGTGAATATTTGTCTGTCCTTCTGTTAGGCCAGAAAGAGTCGTGTTTTAGTTTTGTCCTGAGTTCAGCAGTGAGCCGGAGTCAGCCCCCCTCTCCAGACATAACATGTTTCATGCCTTTTAGCTTTCTCAGCGAGGGCTTGTCCATCGTACAGAACAAGCCGACCAGCATCTCACACACATCACTGTAGGCCACACTTCTCTCTTAAAAACCAAAAAGAACTCCTACTACATGTCATAAATCGTTGACGTCTTAAAGCAGATAGCGAACACCTTCATTTTCAACAGATATTTTACATAAACATTTCTTGATTTTTGTTCTTTTTTTTCTGCAATTTTCAATCTGAAAAGTAGAAATATGCAGACTGGGCTTGTCAGCATAACCATCTGAAAATCTCTGGTGGGATTTTGAAAAAGGTGGTCGCAACATGCTAACCCAAAATATAAATGAACAGGACACCTCTGTTCAGAAACCTTGTGCCAGAAACTGATGTCTCCAGCTATGAATCAGCTTTGTTTCAGATTAACTGGGCTCTACTAAATGATAAAGATGCTTGTCATGAAGTTGTTGAATCCGTTTGAGACTGCAGTACTAAACTAGCATTTTGTCTAATTTGGATAAAGGTTGTTAGGTCTGTTCTGCTGTTGGTTTGGTCTGACTTTAGTTGAAAGTCCAGGTTTGGACAAAGCAGACAGCAACTGTGATTTTTTTTTTTTGTTTTTGCGTTTTATTTATTTAACCAGATGACTTATTCAGAACAAATTCTCATTTACAATAACAACACTGTGGGATTTGTATCTCAGTTAAGGAGAATAGTGTTTTAAATTAGTAAAATTCCATGCATTGCATTTTAGGTTTTCCTATTCTAAATATGAAAATGTTTCAAACCCCTGAATTGGGTATGATCTCTTCTGAATAAAAGCGATCGTTGCCTAAGATGAACAAGGACAAAATTAAGAAAAAACATGACAAAGGAGGATCTGAATGTTCTCTGAGATCACCTTAGAAGCACAGTTTGCTTTTTTTTAAGTTAAAGGAAGAGCAGCTATGCCTCCTGGACATGGCAGAAAAGGGTAAGCTGTCAGTGACTTTCATCACATTCCTGAGGAGGCAGGTGGTCAAAAACCCTCAACTGACAACAAAAGACCGGCGGCAGTCTTAGAGGCAGCAACCATTGAAATTTCAGCTAAACTAAATGCTGAAGAACTCCTTGTCTGTTGCAAAGATTTTCACCACTGCTGACAAAAAAAAGCATCAGAAAAAAACACGACTCCTCTTTGCTCACAAATATATGGATAAGCCAAAGACATTTGAGAATTCTGTTCTGCTGCAATGAATCAAAATTTTAATGTTTTGGCCTTAAGAATCAACAGTTTGTCTAAAGGACAAATAATACATTGAAAAGAACATTGTGGGCAGTGAAGCATGGCAGTGTTTGAGTGACCCTTAAAGTCCGTAAGTGCTTCATTTCAGAAGCCCTGGAAGCTACTAGACCGGTCAACATAGCCATCTGGAAATCTGTGGTGGGGTTTGAAAAAAGTGGTTGCAACATGCTAATCACTTCATGAGACTTGGGGGTGGGGGGGTGGGGGGGGGGTTCCAACAGCAGGAGTCTTATCTATGAATCAACTTTGTTTCAGCTAACAGGGCTCTACTAAATGCTAAAGATGCTTGTCATGAAGGGGTTGCAGAAGGCAGTTTGTAATTTTGGATGCAACTGTATTCTCCCAGTCAGAAACAATCTCACACACAATTGTTTACAAAGATTTTTCACATGAGGAGAGATGGGGGAAAAAAAAAAAAAAAAAAAAGATGAAATTCCTTTACCCCTAAACATTGGCATGACCATAAGGCCCAGATTTTGCTTTCTGTTCTGTCAGTCTTAAAGTATTCATATTTTTTAGGATGATCTCATGGACACCCAACCTCTCCGTTAAATCTTTAATTCTGAATCAGCACTTACACTTTCCTGCCTGGTAGTTCTTGACGCAGTAAAACTTTACTTCTGTTCTGCAAAGGCTACTTCCTACTGAATCATGTTGTAAGCACCACTTCATCACACATTGCTCTTAATTACTGTAGGTTGCTTTTTTAGAAGAAAATACAAGACTGTTACCCCCTAGAGTTTATCAATGATGGATATAACTTTTAAAAATAGCCTTAGTAGAAGCCTTGTTAGAGAGATGGTGGCATCCTTATTTCTATGCCCGGTTTCAAAGTTGGGTTCAGGCAGGAAGTAGGACAGTTGCTTTTAAATTTAGCTCCAAAAGCCCCTTGGCTACGGAGAACAGCTTTGTACTTTGAGCTGTTTCAGGCCTAAAGAGCCCAACAACAGTTTTTGATGGACATCTTTAAAATTAATTAAAAAGTGCATTGTAAAGCTATCTGTTCCGCTGTTTTTCTCCTCCCTTGAGAAATTCCCTCAGATAATTGCTAAAGTACCAATCTTTTCAGTTTAGCCCAGTGAGTCTAAGATCCACTGGCTTTTTGTAATGCAGGCATATACAGTGTATAGAAATGCATTGTACCTGAGAACAGAACGATTCAAAGTTAATTTGCTCACACTGAATATTTTATCGATTCATAGATGAGCCAGTCAGCCCCAGTGTTGACCGAGAGGCTGCTCCCATCCCTCCCTCTGCTGTGATATCTGTTGCACCATCCATAGCGACAGCACCCTCCAGTCAAGGCTCACCATGTCCAACTATTCATCGACAGCTGTCACATGACCAAGGTAAATGCCATTGGGTTGGCTATTGCCATTATGGTTAATAATAGTGCATTTCTTCTTTTTTTTTCTGTAATATCACATCATTGTTTTGTCTTGATAGATGATATTGATCCTGGATTTAATGACATTTTTTATGACATTTGGGTTGCAAAATAAACAGTAATTTCATATTTGTACCGTCTATGTTCAGAGTCTATGCGAAGTGCTTTGTTGGACTCAGACTCTGCTGGTAAAACAGAGCGATCAAAGTCTTATGACGAGGGTCTGGATAACTATCAGGAGGAGAGAAGAGGGTAAGTTCATGCTGAGATTTGTTCTTTTGTCTTTGGCAATTCATATTAGTCTGACTTGGCCTTTTTCTTTACCACTGTGAAAAAAGATCTGCAAGCAAACATATGGCCAGTTTCAGAGGCCTGAGAAAGGTAAGGAGCTAAAGAACCATTTGATGCTCGTCTCAAAGTTATGAACTTTAATGCACTCCGTTGTATTTCAAAAAGCCGTAATTTTCTAATATTAAATCTTTGTTGTGCTTACTTGGTGAAAACAATTCTTTTAGGTTTGGATAAGTCTATTCCTATCTCTAAATCGTTGTTGTATGTCATCCTCCCCTCTGACTCAGTTTCATGTCATGTTCTGCTGTCATGTAGTAATGCCAGAAAATGTCTTTATTTTTCACTCTTCCAGACACTGGATGGGCATAAACCCACTGGGGACTCTGGATCTCGTAGAGAGTCTTCTTTAGATGTATTTGCTGATTCTTCCAAAGAAGGGCTTCTTAACTTCAGGCAACTTAGCACAGACAAGAATAAGGTACTCTGTCATGCCCAAGCACTCCTGCACGAGCCCCGTTCATTACTCAAAAAATGTGACATTTAAGGACTTCTGTCTTTCAATTTGCAGCGTGTTGGTGGAGGCATGAGATCCTGGAAACAGATGTATGCTATCTTACAAGGCCACACCCTGACCCTCTACAAGGATAAGAAGGATGCCCTGTCTCACGCCGCATCCCAGTCTGACGAGGACCCGCTCCGAATTAGCATCAAGGCCTGTCTGATTGACATCTCCTACAGCGAAACGAGACGCAAGAATGTGCTGCGGTTAACCACCTCAGACTGCGAGTATCTGTTCCAGGCGGAGGGGAGAGAAGACATGCTCTCATGGATCAGGGTTATCCAGGAAAACAGTAACCCGGATGAGGAGGTGTGTGTGGGCAGACAGATTCTTGTTGTGTGTGTGTGTGTGTGTGTGTGTGTATGTGTGTTGCCAAGTCAGATCATTAATTACCATCTGATGAGTTGACCCTCATGCTGTCATTATTTCCTCCACTGATATCATCAGTGTGGATTGCAGTAGCTGTTTAATGGAGGACAAAAACAAGCTGCCTGATGAGATTTTACAAATATGTGTGTAACCAAAACACAGACCAGTGATGGGATAGGATCAAACGCATCATTTATAAAATGGTCAACAATGACTTGAATAAAAGCTGGTTTCAAACCTGTTTTACCTGAGTGGAAAAAAAAAAAAAGGACGGGTGTGAAGGGGAAACATGACAATAGCCTCAGTTGATCACAAAGACTTCTTTCAGCTAGATACTTGGAGTGGTCTTTGTTCATCATAGGCCAAAAAGGATGTTCGTTCACCCATTCATTCATTCACTCTAGTTACATAGAGTTTCAGACTGAGGGCTTTTGACTATCAGACTTTTTAAAAATCATTTCAAGGTTTCTAGAAGGACTGAAAAAGTATTTTGAAAGTCTTAAAAGTTCACATATTGACCAGATTTTCTATATAGGGCCTAAAATTACATTTAACTGATTCTTAAATGTGTGTGTTTCTCACCAAGTGCTTTCTTTTAAAATACATTTTCCTGACGCATGCACATTTTTTTGTTACATTTATTATGGATCTTGTCGATCTATTCAGGTGTTTTGTTTGCTTTACTCTGTGACAAAACTAAAAGGCCATGGCCATTCACACACCTTCTACTTTATCTAATATTAGTTGTTAGTTTTGAATTACCTTCTTAAATGAACTTATCCAAGTTGTTTTTTTAGTAATTCTTGTATGTGCGCAAATTTAAATCATGGAGATCTTAAAGCTCTCAGAAAGTCTCAAATTTACCAAATATTTGCATAAACCCTTATTGCACTTTAAATACTTTTAAGTTTTAAAAATTAGCATTTGGATATTATTATCTAGTACGTTTTTATGTTACTTGACTTGTGGTCGTTTTTTTATTTTTTATTTTTTTTAACCTGGCAATATCATCTGTGTCCAGTCTTGATTTAAAAAAATCAAAATTGGAAATGTCCAGCACCCACTAACGTCCAGTTCTGTTATATCAGCCTGACTGAGTGGTTGATGGGATCCTATCGAAACATTTTTCTTTTACAGCTTTTGTGCTTCCTTTGACTTTTAAGTTATTACTAAAAAATTACTTTGAAAATGCTTCAATCAGTAATAGCTTTCACACCAGAGATCTGTCTGGTTGATGCCACCTCATAGACCTTAGAGACGTTCACGGATCAGAAAAATATCAGTTTTTTTTTGTTTCCTAGTGGATATTCGCCAGTCACAACTGTGGTAGCAGAAAATTCACAGATTCTGGATATAAGATTATTTTTTTGTGTGTTTTTTATTGTTTTTTTTTTTTATATGAATTGTCATATGATTTTTGTTTTTTTTTTACATTTTACATTATCACTTGATTTTCTCTTGTTTTTACAGAATGGTTCTGTTACCAGCCAGGATTTGATCAGCAGAAAGATAAAAGAATACAACATGATGAGGTATACAGGGCACTGCATTGCCCCCTAGTGGTTACCTAGAGCAAGAAACAACTGTTTAAATTGAATGCCAAACAAAAATGAAGTCTCTGTTTTAATCTGTCTAATTTTGTATGTTGACCAGTGCTCCCAGCAGCAGATCAGAGCCCTCCCCTAAGTCCTCTCGGCAGTCGCTCAGCATCAAGCAAGCATTCCTGGGAGGCAAAACAGAAGGCCGGAGCCACAGCTCCCATTCGCCCAGAACGGGAGAGGATCGAAGGGCGCTGAAAGGTAACATCACCAGGATCATTTACGGTGGTTAGAACATCTGTCATCGCAGGTGGCTCATTTATTTCTGGGGCCTTTTACAGATGAATCAAGTCCACCTCGAGACAGGGGAGCCTGGAAAATCGGCATAGCCGGGATCATGAAGAAACCATTTGAAAAGAAGCAAGCCGGCATCACTTTCGGTGTCCGTCTTGAAGATTGTCCCCCTGCTCAAACTAACAGGGTGGGTTTTTTTATTTTTTATTATTATTTTTTATGTCTGTATGATATTACTGTTCAACGGTGCGTCTTGTTGCGTTGTTGTTGAAGTATGCGAAGTTATGTCCCGCTGATTGTCGTGCAGTTTGTTCCGCTGCTCGTGGAGGTGTGCTGTCAGGTCGTAGAGGAGCGAGGACTGGAGTACACTGGAATCTACAGAGTTCCTGGAAACAACGCTGCCATCTCCAACATGCAGGAGGAGCTCAACACCAAAGGCATGGCCGACATCGACATCCAGGAAGACGTGAGTGACCGACGGCTTGCTTGTCTCATATTGTCCTCTGTATGACCTGCTGCCATGCAACTCTGCTTATTTTCTAAATCTCTACAGAAATGGAGGGACATTAACGTGATTAGCAGTCTATTAAAGGCATTCTTCCGAAAACTTCCAGAACCTCTGTTTACAAATGGTAAGATTATAAAAGTCAAAATATAGTAATAGCTTTGTTTTTGTGCTTCTACCAAGTTATATTTTGGGGGGTTTTTTCCGTCCTATTTTTAGAGAAGTATGATAAATTTATTGAAGCCAGCAGAACAGAAGACTCAGTGGAGCGTTTAAAGGAGCTCAAGAGGCTGGTTAGTACATTCTGACATAAGGGACATTTAATTAGCCTTAGCATTACGTGTTGATTGATGCCGAAACTATTTTCTCTTTTTGTTTTTTTTACAGGTCTATGAATTGCCCACTCATCACCTTGAAACTCTCAAATTCCTTTGCGCTCACCTAAAAAAGGTTTCCGATAACTGTGAACAGAATAAGGTCGGACCTGTCGCTGTCAGATCCTGAGTTTACCCCTTTTAAGGATTTTGTCAAATAACCTGACTCCTCTTTATCTGGCGGTGTGTTTAGATGGAGCCTCGCAACCTGGCAATCGTGTTCGGTCCGACGCTGGTCAGAACGTCGGAGGACAACATGACCGACATGGTCAATCACATGCCAGACCAGTGCAAGATTGTTGAGAACCTTGTCCAGCAGTTTGACTGGTTCTTTATGGAAGACGGCAGTGAAGATCCAGTTGTAAGTGGAACCTTGTTGTCAGTATGCTGCTAAAGTACTCAGATCCTTTGAATCGTTTCACTTTTTACTACCTTACAGCTGCAGTTTCTGCACCAATCGCAGTCTTATGGCTGCCGATTCGGATTTTCGGTGACCTCCAACACCTTTTGTGTTTTCTTTACAGTTAGCTCTTACTAGACTGCATACTTTCAAATAAAATGCGGTTGAATATAATTTTCCTCTCTTCTTCTGTGTCCCTTGTCGATCCTGCAGGCTGTCGTCGAGCAGGAGAGCACAGTGCAGTCTCAGCCTGTGCCCAATATCGGCCACCTGCTCACTAACATCAGCCGGGTTCCTGCCTCTTCCAGTGAAGTCTCAGGTAACTCAGAAGCAGCTTTTCCTCTCGGCAGCCATATTCTGTATGCATTACAGTAGCAGATAGAAATGTATCAAATGAGATAGATGATAGTTTGAATTCTGAATGTTATAAAACGTCTTTTAATTGTTTTAAATACTTTTAGCGAGAACAAAAACATCAGCTTTGTTTTTGTGAGTATTTTTACAGCAAGTTTTTTCAGTCATTTTTCAGTGTATACCATCAAGTAGCTTAATCACTGAACAATTGCTGAGAAACACCTTGCAGCAAAGCTTTTTTTTTATTGATTTATTTTCTAATTAAAAATCTGTTTTGTCACCATTTGTTTCTTGTTTAGTTTTATTATTATTATTATTATTATTATTATTATTTCTGCCCATATAAATTTGTCCAAGTTTTATTTCTGTTCATTTCTTTGCTTTACTCTTTTTTTTTTCTGTGCTTAAGTCATTTTTTTTTCTCCCTGTGCTTTTTCTATGTTGAATGACGACTCCTTTTCTTTCAGTTCTTTTCTTCCCCTCCTCATCATCTCTCGCATAATCCCGGCATGTTCTTTCCCAAAGAAAATCTTGAACGAGATAAAAAACAAACAAACAAAAAAAAAAACATAAACAATGGAAGTTGTAACCCTTTCTGACCTGTGCCCTTCTGTGTATAGTGTGTTCTTTCTCCTCCCTTATCCTTGTCCAGCACTCACGCATTACCCACTCTTGACACAGGCCAAGTGGGCGGCGTCTATCACTCGATGGTGTCCCTGATGGACTCTGTTTTGTCAGTGATGGACAGCTGGGACTGTAGGAAGAAGGACGAGTGTTGTGCCCAGTGTAGCTGCCTAGTCTGCAGTAACCCGCAGCTCTTTTAAATTTGGCCGAAAGGAGGAAAAAAAGATAAAGAAAGAAAGAGAAGTCGATGTTTGTCATTGTTCCTGTGCTGTGCACATCTCATATTTAAACCAGTACCCTAAACTGAGGGGATACAGAGCCACGCTGCTGCACTTTCTCTGAAAGCCCTTCTGCTGTCTCTTGTTGTCTTTTAAGCTGATCGCAAGGACAAGTAGCATGGTACGGACAACCTCAGGTTCTCTTCCGGTTGTGTGGCATAATCTGTCATGATGTCTGAGGGCGGGGTCGTGGGGTCGGGACTGAGCTGGATGTTCCCCGGCACACACAAACAAATCCACTCATACAGCCACATCCCAGCCCAGTTCTAACTAACTGATGCAGAGGCGTGCAGGCGTTCAAGTCGCACATTAAGTGATCGTGAGCATGTAGATGGAGCCTAAATTGTTTCTACGTGATTTTTTTTTAAAACTTTTTTTCAGGTGCCACCTTTTTTTTAATTTTATTTGTTGTCTGTGGTGTTTTTATTTGTACATTTTTGTCTCTGTTTTACATTTCCCGACTTCGCACCATTGACTACAGACGCGCCTAGCTGTACAGTACGTCATCTCTTTGTGTTGCATAACTCTTGAGAACCACGTCACTCACTTATTGTGTTCCTAAAACCACAAAGGGGAGAAAAGAAAAACATCTAGGATTGGTTTTAAGTCTGATAGTGAGGTTGTTGTTTTGTGACTCCTACACAGAGTTTAATTAGAAGAACAAATGATTGATGAACCAGTCGGTTTTTGAGGCTCAGTGGAGCTGTCCAGGTCGTTCGTTGCGGTTTGTTCAACCTGCAGCTTATTTAGCTGAACTTCAACAAGTTTTTTCAGATTAACATAAGTCCAGCATCCCACTCCCTTCTTCCTTTTGTTATATCTAAATATATTCTAATTTCCTTTCTTCCTGCTGTTTTTTCTTCTCTCCTTCTTTGTAACTCATTTCTTCCTACCTTCCTCCTTCATATCCAACATCCTTTCTTGTCTCACCACCTCTTCGTCCTTCTCCTTCCATCTGTCTTGCCCCCTTCTTTGTGTGCTTCCTTTCTTTCTTTGGTTCTTCTTCTCTCCTTTCCTTGTTTCCTTCCTCCTCCCTCTATTTAAATAACGATAAATACATCCTGAAGTTTTACATTTTCTATCTTAAAATAGCCTTAAAGGACTGAGTGTTCTGGAAATTTGAGTTTGGAAAAAGTCCTGGAAACAGCAGTTGTACTTTGTATTGATTAGCAACAGACTGGAGTTTTGATTTTCAAATCTGCTTGTCGGGGAAAGTCGAACTGAAAACCGTCAGACTTATCAGTGCGTGTCCAGCTGTAAACCATAGAAGTTCATTTAAGAGATTTTTTAAATTCAACAATGAAAATTAAAGCACATTGATCAGACAAAAAGAAAAGAAAAAAATGCTGCAGGTTTCTATGTAGAGAGAATTTTATTGAATCTAACAGAAAGTTAAGATATTTAAAGATTATTCCTACTAATGCATCATGTTGTTTAAAACCTAAAAACAACATGCGTCATAGAACAGAAAAAAGTGGGATGTTTCACTTAATTAACATAAAAGTATTTATTGTTCGACCTGCTGATCACCTGTTGGAAGAAAAACAAAACTGGTTGATTTTTGGATTGGATGATCATTACATATTCCTGTACATTTTCGGCATATTATGCAGTTGTAGGATTTTCTTGGTTTTTAATCTTGTGGCTTTTTAGTGCAAAAATATACATTTTTTTACATGCTATGAAGTAAAAAGTAGCATTTTTAAAGTGTCTCGATAAATTATTAGACTTTATTTGAATCCCCCTTTTGTTGCTTTTTGGAGTCATAAGCAGGAGTTGCTATAGTTTCTGTGCCGTCCAAAGCTTCTGTAAGTACTTGTTTAGGAAGGCATATTAGCTGCAGTTAAAGTCTGAAGTTTTGCTGCACACTATTGTTTTGCCTTTTATGTTGTTCTTAGTGACAGACTACACATTTAAGCTCACCGCAGGAGCTCTCTGAGCGAGACAGATCCGTTACATTGAGGCTTCCTGTACCAGCTCTGCGGTATCGCTCACAACACACTCACCGATCCGACACACTCAGGGCCACCTGAAATTTCCCCAGTTAGAGCAAACTCATTGACTCCCCCTCCTCTGTGACGTCTTGAGTTGGGAAAGAATGTCTCCAGCTGGTCGGTGGCTACATGTGATGCTCTGTGACTGCCGTGTTTGTCCCCCGATGTGCCGTCGTTCCATCGATACATGAGCATGAGCTGCTTTTTGTGTCGTTTACTGCCGGGTTTTTCACCTCCTCTCCATCTCAGGCACCTTCTGCTGCTCTATTCACTTTTTTGCATTTAGTGCTGACTTCTTGATTCTATTCCTGTGTCTTCTTCTTCTTCTTCTTCTTCCTCTTCTTCTTCTTCTTCAATCAGAAATGTGTCATCTGCTTGTGTCCAGCTGCGCTCATTATGTCCATCCTGTCTCTCTTAATCTCTGCTTCAAGTGTCTTGTTTTTGTCATTTAAAGCTCCTTCGTTTACTGATGAGTATCTTGTTTTTGTGCAGACACGGCATGTCCTGACTCCAATAAATCCAAGGTAAAAAAAAAAAAAAAAAAAAAAAAAAAAATTTTTTGTACCCCGGACCTTTTATTTTAAAAAGTTTCCTTTTTCATTTTAGGGTGTTTTTTTTTTGGG